AAATCAAGCATATAAAATACGCTAATAAATATATAAAACACACACTTTTTTCGACCAATCACAACAGGTTCGATCCAATCCAAAGGTGATATTTTCCAAATCTTTTTAGCTCTATCACAATGAAGGAACATATGCTCTATTGTCTCCTCACCTTCTCCACAACTAGTACACCTTGGATCCACTTCCATTCCTCTATTTCTCAGATTGAAAGACACAGGCAAAGTATTTGTGTAACACTTCCATATGAAGTGCTTCAGTTTATTCTTGACTTTCAAACCCAGCTTCTATTTCTTACTTTCAACTCATGATGACCAGACTCACTGCCCTCTGGGATATCAAGATCTCTGATTTTGGCAAGAACTAGATGAGAATAAGAATTTGAGACTGAGAACTTGCCTTTTTTATCTATAGTCCAACTCCATTTGTCACAGGCCAGCGGGTCAAGAGTGGATATATTTATTATAGCTGCTGCATTTGTATCAGTAAAGCACTCTGCAATTTTATTAAAATTCCAGTGTCTTCCATCCTCTTCAATCAATTCATGGACCCAGTACACCCCTCTCATCCCTTTCTCAGTTTTCTGAGGTAAACCCTGCACAGCACCTGGAATCCAGGGGTCACTTCAAACTTTTGTATTTCTGCCATTCCTTACCACCATATGAAAAGAAGATTTGAATTTATCTTTCACCCAAAGCCAGTTGCTCCACAACCAGGACACATTGTAAGGCTTAGTAGCTTGCAAAATGGAACAGTCAGAGTAATACTTACCCTTGAGCACTCTTGAGACCAATAAGGAAGGATTAGTGGCTAACTCCAAATTTGTTTAATAATGAGGGCTTCATTGAACAGAGCAATATCTTTAAATCCCAGCCCTCCAGCACTCTTTGGGATGGTAATTTTCCTCCAAGCCTTCCAGTGTACACCTGATTGATTTTTCCCAGACTTCCACCAAAAACTAGCAGACAATGAGGCTATTTCTTTGCACAAGCTCTTTGGCAGACAAAAACATGACATAGCAAATATTGGGAGAGCACCCAAAACGGCTTTCAGTAAGACCTCCTTTCCAGCACTTGATAAAAATTGGTTTTTCCAGCTTACAAGCTTATTCCTGACAGCATTCAAAACAAAATCAAAGGAGTCCTTCTTAGATCTCCCTATACCTAGGGGTAACCCTAAGTATTTGGTTGATCTGTGAATCTGAATTTCCCCAGTAGCTGACAAATTGCAGATTTAGTGTTATCCAAACTATTTTTGCTAAAAAAGATGGATGATTTGCTCAAATTCACCTTCTGCCCTGTAAAAGCCTGGTATTTGTGAAGCAAATGTAGCAGAGTTTGTGCATGATGGACATTAGCTTCACACATAACTAGGGTTTTATCCGCAAACATTAGGTGAGAAACAGGAGGACTTTTCTTAGCAATTTTTAAACCACTAAATCTGCCACCTGACACTTCATTCTTCACGAGTCTGGAGAACACCTCAGAGATGATTATGACGATATAAGGGGACAGAGGGTCCCTTTGTCTAATCCCTCTAGAAGCATTGAAAAAAACCTTCACTTCCCCACTTAGACTAATAGAAAAAGATGTGGATGATATGCGTGCTTTCACCCATTTAACAAATTTGGCATGAAACCCCATTTTCAAAAGGACTTTAAAAACCCCATCCCATTCAATTCTATCAAAAGCCTTTTCCATATCCAATTTGATTAACATAAAACTCTTCTTCCCTGATCTAAGCCTGTTAAGATAGTGAACTGCTTCATGGGAAATGACAACATTATCTAAAAGTTGCCTACCTGGAATAAATGCAGCTTGGTTTTCACTAATGCAATCAGATAACAAAGGCTTGAGTCTAAGAGATAAAATTTTTGCAATGACTCTATAAGAAACACCACAAAGGCTTATGGGTCTGTACTGCTTGAGGGATGAGGGGTTTAAACATCTGGAGATTAAAGAAATGAGGGTGTGGTTCCAATTTTTAAGAATCTGGCCTGATTCGAAAAAACTATAAATAGCTGAACAAAAATCATGCTTAATGATAGACCAAAATTTCTGAAAAAAAAAGATGGCTCATACCATCAAGACCTGGAGCTTTTCCTAGATCGAGGCTGAATAAGGCTGCTTTGACTTCTTCTTCAGTGACTGGGGCAATAAGGAGTTCATTCTGCTCTGGGGATATTGAAGATGGTAATAAATGCAGGATGTCAGATGCTCCCCTTGACCCCTCAGTGCTGAAAAGATGTTTGTAGAGTTAGACGCTTTGGAATCATACATGTCACAATAATATGCTTTGTATTTAAGTTCAGATAAAAAAAATTGGAAACAATTTTGCTTGCAAAGTGCCATAAATATTTTTTTCTACCATACATTATTGTCTCCCATCAATTTCTCTTTCATTACCAAATTTGTATTGAATTTAAAAATCACACAAATCATTATTTTCTTACTTCAGTTTAGATTTATCCCATTCGTCATATCTTTTTATTTTTTTTTTAAGTTGATAAACTTTAGCCCATTTTTGAGTTCGTGTCTTTGTTTGCGTAATGAATAATAATGAACTAAATTATATATTATAAATATAGTGATAGTATAATTAAATAAATCTTAACTAAACACGTTCATTATCTTAATTGTCATCAATTTTAGTCCTTATCTTAATTATCATCCATCATCTTATTTTTCCAAGTTGATAAATATTATCCCATTTGATAACTTGTAAGTAACACTAATAATCTTTTGCACAAGAAATTTTTTGACAATTTGAAATAAAATACTAATGTATAGTAGTTCTTATTTTACGAAATTTTCATTTATTTTATTTGTATATACTTACAATAGCTAAACTGTATTTTTTTTTTGTTCAAATTATTTTTTCATACACCCGTGTAGTACACGGGTGTCATATATATTAATTTGATATAAACTAGTGCGTATCCGGTGCGATGCACGGGTAAATGATATTAAATAATAATTATAAATATGTCTCGAATTCGAGTCACCCAATGAAAGAAGTAGGGGACCACTATTTTTTTTGTCTCCAACGGTAGGCATTCTCAATAAGCAAAATGAAACAAAGAGTACAACGAGCAACAACCCGAGATGGCCACAAGGTCCCGAGGCAACACTTAAAGTGCTAAAGTACAACCAACCAAGAGACAAGAAGATAGCAGAAAGCTAGAGCACTTCTTGCTCAAAACCAACCAAACAACTAAAACAAAGAAAACTAACCAAAACAGACCCAAACTGACACAGAATGCCCCCAAGGCTCAAAACTAACCACCAAGAATAGAAAAAGCAAAAAGACTGGGAACTATCAAACAAAAAAAAACAGCCTAAGATTAGAAGATAGCAACAAATACTAACTAGGATCAACAGATGGTTACAACACAAAATTCTAAACATTCTTACATAGCTCCCTTGATTACCATCTGCACTGGCATTTTCTCCTTGTTGAACAACCACAAATTCCTAGATCTCCATAGCCACCAGAGACAGATGGATTCTTGCCTATGAGATATCAGCTTTGCTAATGGAGCAGACTTGCCACCACCAAGTCTTGAATGTTTTTTGTTTTGTGGAGATACCATCCCAGGAAAGAGGGGACAACCAAGCTTCTGAGGCCCTCTTGCAGTTGAAAAGAATGTGGACAATTGTTTCTTCAGCATCCCCACATAGTTGACAGATAGGGTCAACTTTGATACCTATTTTCCATAAGTTTACCTCAGTTGGAAGTGTGTTTGTGTAGCACTTCCAGATAAAATGCTTGATTTTCATTTAACTTTGAGCTTCCAGCTTCTCTGCCTGATGTTGGAGTCTGTGAGTCTGTTCTTACTGCTTTCAGCAATGTCTAAGCAGCACAACTTATTGTTTATGAGATGAGCATATGAGATAGCCACAGAAAAATCTCATTTACTGTCAAGTTTCCATCTCCATCTGTCACCAATTTTAGGGGAGAGAGTGTTAATCTCCAAGATGGCTTGAGCATCATCTTGTGAGAACATCTGGGATATGAGCTCTTCATTCCAATGTCTTCCATTCTCAGCCATTAGATCCCTGACATAGAATATTTCAGGGTTGCTCAGTGTTGGTGGTGCAGATAGGCCTAGCTTTGGGACCCAGCCTGGATCTGAGATCATGGTTTGGAGACCTCCTCTATCTTCTTTCCAAATCCGCTGATTGAATATTGGTAAGATATCAATCCAGTTGTTCCACATCCA